CATCAATTTGAGGATAGAATGCTAAAGATAGTTTTATATCCACTTTAAGAATCTTGAAAAGAGTCCACTAAAATCTTGATATAAATTGAGTTCCCCTATCTGATATAATATCCTTGGGTAATCCATGATAGCGATAGATATTGTCAAGAAAGAGCTTAGCTGTTTCTTCACATGTGATAGATTTTATACATGGTACAAAATGTGCCATCTTGGTAAAACGATCTACTATCACAAATATAGAGTTATAAGAACCTGAGATTGGAAGATCCGTGATGAAGTCCATAGAAACAAAAGACCATGGTTGTTTTGAAATGGGTAATGGCTGAAGAAGTCTTAAAAGTCGATGAAGAGGAGTTTTTGATCTTAAGAAAACATCACATGATTGTACAAAATCTTTGACTGCCTTCCACATTTGAGGCCACCAAAAATCCCTAGATATCAGCTCCAAAGTCTTATTATATCCAAAATGTCCTGCTGCTAGAAAGTCATAACGAGCTTGAAGAATACATAAACGTGCTTCTCCTTCTGGAACATATAGGTGTCCTTCGAAATAGAGTAGGTTGTTCTTGAATTCAAATTTAGAGGAATCATGAGATTTAAAAGAATTATTCTTGATATCATGAACAAGAGGGTCTGAAGACATACTTAATTGGACTTGCTTAAGAAAAGTTAAATCAACAGTTAATGTTGATTTTATTGCTCGAAGATGAAATTGCTCCGGCTTCAAGAGAACCATTCTTTCTTGCTCAAAAGCTGCATTTTCTTCTTTTGGTGCAAGATAAGAACATCTAAATAAGGCATCAAATAAACCTTGTTGTTTTCCTAGTCAATAAGTGATGATGAACTCGAATCTTAAGAAAGACATCCTCCAATGAGCTTGATGACGATTTAATATGCGTGTTGACATAAAATACTCGAGGTTCTTGTGATCCGTATATACGGTGACTGAATATGGTCTTTTATCTCCGGTATCGCGGCAAGTCCAAATAATTCAACTATTTTCTTCTCAGAAACTCGATTTAATTCCATTTCACGAACATAACATCTTGAATACCTTGAAATATTCCTTCCATCAAATTGATCAATTTTATTGACCACTGCTTGCAATGGTTTGGTTGCCAAAGCTTCTTTTCGATCATTGCTTTCCTGTTGCTGCATTGATAATGAGAAGGCTTGAAACATACTAGCAATAAACGGATCCATGTGCATACTTTGTCTTTTAGAAGAACCCCCACCAGAAACTCCTTCCAAAGATCCTTCAAAATTTTTATTTTCGTTCTTCATAAAAATAAAAATAAAATCAAACAAAATCCAATACCTTCCACCTCAAGCTTTCACGTCGGGTTCACCACTTATGTCATATTACGTGCTAACTTGCTTGAGAATGTACCGGGCGTCTGGTTGTAGGAGGTAGTATGGTGTTTTGCTAGTACTCAAGTAGTCTATCGTGTTCTTGACTACCCAAATACAATCTATATCAGATTGTAATGGAAAAGCTTAATTCCAATATAAAATGCCTAGAGATCCTATATAACTTCAATCTCTTTTGTTATTTTTATTTTATTTTATTTATTTTATGTTTTTTATTTTATCTTTATCATTAATTACCTTAATCCTAGATAGTGAACTTCGGCAAGCTGTGATCCTCAATCTGTCCTTCCGACTTGTTGTGAAACATCTATCGCTAGTGTCTCTGCAAGCCCTTTCGAATGCTCAAGAAGTTCCAGTTCAATCCTGCTTACAGATTGTGAGGCTATGCTGCAATCCGCACTGATGTCCCTTGGCCGCTCGCCGATATTCCTCTTATCCCTGTCGGTAGGTCCCCAGTTATCATAGAAACCCTAAATAAATCCCAATTTTCCAACTCCCAAAACCTCTTTAAACTTTTGGCAGATATCCTCTATCCGTACAGTCAGATTAACACAACTATGCATGCATTCAGCATATTCAACCTTCTAGACAACTCTGAATTTCAACCACAGAAGTATCCCCCATTCCAACAACAATCAAGAGTACCAGCCTTTTCCTCTCTTACGGAAAATCCAGTTCACCAATATATCACTGACTTTCAGCAACGATTGCCTCAATCTTCCCAAAATCCTATGAAGAAAAAAAATCCCAACTCTCTGTCTTTTCCCCCCCAAAACATGAAGCTAGCTCTCTGACCTAAAATCCCTAATTCTCCCCCTTTTTTTCATTTCTTAACCTATCCTCCCCTTTAACCCTGAGAAGATCCTATTTTCTCGCGTTGAACTCCCCGAATTGGAACAACCGACGGAGCTTTTTTCCCCATTTTTGCCTTTAAGAGATCCTTTTATCGAAAAGACGTTCCTAGAATGACACAAAGAACGGAACAGCCTGAAATCGATTGTCTTGTCGTAAAATACGGATCTTATTGGTTGCAACATGAATTGCATCATATTCTCCATACATGGATCAAAACTCTGTCAAAAAAGCCTCTAAATTATCTAATATTGGATCTCGTCATTGAAGAAAAGATGAAAACCACGATAGTACTGAACCTGAAAGAAGCGTACCAATGAATCTAACTTGCAATCCTGGAGTTGGATAGCTTTGGAGTTGAAATTCAATCACAAATTATACTTGATTGATAAATCCTCAAAACTTGGATCTGGTGCCATCAAACTTCTCGGGTAGGGTAATTCTTGGTTCTGTAACACTGGAAGGGCGTTCCACCATAGGAGAAAGGACATGATTTGGTGCATATGTTGAAGCAACTCCAACCATTTCTATATCTTCACTTCCTACCAATCTTGTTGCTCCTTATGGTGGTAAATTGAGTTGATGCATCGCAAGCATTAATTCTCTCAATTGCTCTTGCATTTGTGCCATTGCACTCTTCATTTCAACAAGTTCTGCCATAATAACACTTAGAAAAAAGAAGATGTTTAATATCGCTCAAGACAAATAGAAGAGAGGACTTGAGAACAAAGAAAATACTAAGGATAATATCAGTTTAGAAGAGGGTAATCCGCAACTTCTAATATGCTTATATCTTATCAAGAAAAAAGAGTAACCCACTCTTAATCAAGATTAGACAAAGCTCTGATATTGTAGGTGTACTCTTGTCAATTTGTCAAGGACAAGAACTTGATAAAAAAGAAATTTAGACAAGTGAGCCTTCACTCAAAGAAAGGTAACAAAATATAAATAAAAAAGTATGTATATTGAAAAAGAAACTGGAATGGCTATTGCCAAAAGACAAGAAAACTAGAGACCCTTGAAACTAGACTAGAAGCAAGAAAGGAGTTGACAAGAGTAAAGAGGGCTTCACTCTTGTCTCTATATATACTATCTAACTAGGGGCTATGTGGCGACGTTCTATAGGACCTCCAATATATGTTGACTTTGTAGGACACATGCCTTGACTTACAAGGCAAGTTTTTCTACGTGTGGGCCACATAGTTAGCTTGATCTTCAAGCTAACAACATGTGTAGCACATGGCCAACTTGTTGACCACGTTTCTAATCCAAAAAGTCAATTAAAGACACCTATGAAGTCAAAGCAGTATTTATGAAGCTTCTAAGAAGCTTCCATATTAAATACTATAGAATTAACTTACTTTTACTTACTTTTACTTACTTCCACCTATTTGTATATGTAATTACTAGCTTATATGAGTATGTCCGTGACAGAGGGTCAAAACAGTATATTAATCTTAGAGCTCTAACATGCTTTTTCTCTTAGAAATATCTAGTTTATAATTTTAGTTAACATAGCAATTAATCTCAATTTTGGTTTACTTTTGATAATGACTTTTGATAAAAATAATAGAGCATGAGGCCAATTAAAGAGCATTTTTATCTCTTCTTGTTTTGTTTCATAAGCTGCCTTATATAATAGATATAGTACTTTTGGTTAGTAATTATAATAATGTATAATATAATAGAGCTTGAATACATATACATATATATATGTATATATATATGATGTAATAAATCAAGAATAGCAACTTTTGTAGTAAATCAATGTTGATTTTTGATTTTATATTTTAAACTAATTCTTGTGTTGTTTTTTGAAAAAATAAAAACTTGTTGGAGCAGGTGTCCATATTCATCGAAATTTTTTCAATAATGCTATGGTTAATTTCAAGTCCCTTTTCAAGAGATTTAAACTGCGAGTCTCAGATTGTTTTGAAGAAAACCTCGACTCTATTTTATTTGCCGAGGAGAATTCAGAAGTTTGATTGGTGAAGATGCAGGACCGGGGAGTTCAATACCTGACAGCAACATTCAGAGTGATTCACATGCTCACATTTTCATTGGATAGTTCAGATTGAACATCAGGAAATTTGATTGTTCCAATTAATCCATTCATCAACTGCTTGTATAAAAGGGAAAAACGTCCGCATCTTGCCATGAGCTACTGACAAAGCCCTACCTTGCAATGAGATTAAAAGATGTAGCCACTGCAAAAATCAGCTGTCAGAGTTCTATCCTACCATTTAAGTCCAGAAAATTTGTTCACGGGAAAAGAAATCTAGTGAGAGCATCTCTGAGAGCATGCATCAAGGATTCCTGAGCAATATTTTTGCACATTTCCCTGTTAGTCTCTCCGTCTATCCACATTCAGTTCACCGTAATCTCAAAACTCTTGATCCGCCTTCTTCTTCACACTCTCCCACACTCCAAACTCACCTACCTCAACAGTCGACTCAACTGACTCGCGATAAAATAAGTCCTTAGCTCTTCACACAGTGCGGCTGTGTCAGCGGAGGCTCGCAATCCTGCAGGCAATCATTCAGTCCCCCATTCAAAATCCATCGACGAATGTTCATCATCCAACGAATGAAATCCACATCAGCGTCACTTATCTCGGGCTATTGCTATCTGTAATTCTAACCCCTGTCAAACAATCCAACACAACGAAATTTTCCAAGTCACGTCCACGTCAATCTCCGGGCTACAGCTCTTATAACCGCGACATGCCAATATGAATAGAGCCGTTCATCTAATGACCAGCCATCAGCCTCATTAAAGTGGCGGCGGTGCTCTCCGTTTTACTTTCTTAGTTTTTGTTTGAGTTCCGGAGATGTTGTCTTTTTGGAGGTGGATGATTTTCAGTTTGCGCGTATCTCATCGTGGAGCGCATGATTGAACATTTTCGATACGTTGGATATGATCAAGAGTTAGTGGATATCAGTTTGTGTGACAATTCTAATTGCTTAATTTTTTTACAGTTTCGCTTGATGGTTTTTACGTCTTGGACAAGAGGTGAACTTTCCGCACAGACGATTCCTCGTGTGGTAGTTGACGTGGACCGAAGTTTGGAGTTGAAAGTGAAACAACTGTCTAAACTGCACTTCGACGTATGCTTCACAAGTCTTACAATTTGTCATGAAACAATATTCATGTGTAGAAATTTAAAGCTTCGTTTATGATAAGCTATCCCATTACTTTCTCCAACTCCTGTCTCTATGTCAAGAATGATGTTGCTCTTGGTATGTGACACCCTAGTGATGACCTAATCATTGAACGTGCAAAATGCAAGTCTATCGTCTTTTCCTAGAACTGTTTAGTTCTTTTATGCTAGCATCTCACGCATACGCATATGTCTTATAATTGATGAAGAGGTGTTTTTTTTTTTTTTTTTTTTTTTTTTTTTTTTTTCCGGTGATTACAGTCTTCTGTTTTAATTGCCATGATGTGTGTGTCAAGGATACTCTGAAACAACTTTACATATTGACGGATTATATTTCTGCTGAGTACTCTCAATGTATACTTTTAATGGATACAAATTTCATGTCGAGAATTAAGGAATTTTCTATTGGACTGGGTGCGTTAATTTAGTGAATTACAGGAATGCTGACAGCTTGCATGTTTCTTTTGTACGTTATGAGTTTCATCCTTTCATGAATGTCGATTCCAGATTTGTAATACAAGGATTTAACTACTTATCGTATTTTGAGTTTCAGGTAAAAGAGAGCGTAACAGACTATTAGACTGATGACGATATGATGAACACCATATTGACTGTGTCTTCGGGACTTTAATGGAACCTCTGAAACTGATACAATACGAGACTTCGATGAAATTCTTCATCGAAAGAGAATTGCCTATAATTGCTTCACAACAGTTAAAACACTTGACTTCATTGTGCGATGGTTGCCCTTCGCGGCAAGAATGCGGGGTGTTTAGGAGCATTCGCTTAAAGTAGAGAAGTCATTAAAACTTATATTTTCTATTTGTGATCGCCAAGAAAACTACATGATAAAATTTCTGAAAGTAATTCTTTCAAGATTTTTTATGTTAACAAGGAGCCTGTACTAGCGGTAACTTGATGAAATTTGAAGATTTTCAAACGTTTTAATCATGGTGATGATTTTTATAGTCGTTGGAGGTGGTCGTAGTTTAGAGGCATCAAGTTTAGAGGTTGGATCGATAGGTACAACACATGATTTTGCGAGCGTGTTTTTGACCATAGTCGCGTAGGATCTGTGAGTTCCCTCAATCTAACGAACTTCAATATTTGATAGGAAATTGGCGAAGTGAATCTTAAGTGACGAAAAGGTTAACTTCTAATCAGCGAGAAGGATGTAATTTGATTTGACCTCATTCTAATCCAGCCACTTATGTCTCAAACTCGCTATATTTTTTCTGTGGATGCAGATGTGAGACCCTATCAAGCAAATTCATGAACTCTGTCAATGTTGTTGCAGACCTGAGGCTGCACAGGGAGCCTTTACACTTGGTATGTTCGTATTTCACGAAAACAATTCACTAGTTTCAAGAGGCAGTCATAAAATATGTCGTGATTTTGTGGTCTTTTCATTGAATGACGCCAGTAAATTACGTTAAGGTGAAGGCACTGCGTAATTTTTCGTTTCTTTCTCCTTTTAATTTTTTATTATCTTTTTTCAGGTGACCGTTATTGCAAAATGAAATTCGAAACAAATAATTTTTGCTAGGATTTAACTTACCTCGTCCGTGATTGCATGACGGCCACTTAATTGGAGCAGGGCTCAATGCTGAAATGATTCTGCCTGATGCTTCATCACTTTTGTGGAAAGAAAAGTCTTTTTTTTGTTATTAATTACAGAAAAAATGCACAAGATCAGGTACTTTGGAAAGTGCTGAAATAGAAATTACTTGCATGATTTTGATTTTGGGATAAGCTGGATAGATTGATTATCGGAACTTCATGCAGATATCACTTGGGCTTCTTCATCTCTGTAGTACCCACTTTCTTTGCATTTGGGTTTACAGGCACTTTGAATTGAAATACCCATCGTTTCTTGGTGTGCAGAAAACCGGAATTACTGCTCCTCTAAGTTTAGTGAAGGGTGCCTGTTCTAATGGTATGGTCGCTGTTGTTGTTACCTGCAATAGATTCTTCAAATCTTGCCTTCCGCCATTTTCAACTGGAAATTCTCGGATTAAACTTTCTCTGAAATTAGTTAAGTAACGATTTAAATACGCTGCGCAATCTATGATCTTGAAGCACTCAACGGTTGAGTTGGAGTGGCAAAATTTGTCAACTGAACCTGTTAAACATTAACATTACTTCAAGGTCCTTATGCTCATTAGATGCTATCGCGTCTTTACAGTAGGTCGATCCTTTAATTTTTTTTCAATTAATTGCACTGGTTGTCATCTATTTAACTATATCTGAACCAAGGGATTACCTTCGGTCTGCTAGATGAAAATTATGATATTTATGTTGATATTTATGTTGAAATTTTTCTAACTTTAATGGTATTTGATAGTGGTATTAACTTTATTACTAAATTTTTACCCTTGTAAGTGTTATCTGTAGTATCACAATTCCAATATGAAACCTTTGTTTTTTAATGCTTTGTGAGTCTTCTTGTATTTTAGTATAATTATTTGAAACATATATATTTTGGTATTTAACTAAAAAATTAATTAATTAAAAAAATATTTTGTGATTTGTATTAGATTACATTACAATTTTTTTGTATCTTGAAATAAAAAGTGGAATAAGTTATAGATATCATAACTAATGCATATTGTTACAACTATGTTTTCGATAGATTTTATGGTTTTAAATATTACATTCATTTATTGATTTTTATTTTAAAATAAAAGATATAGAATTATTGATGTTTTTTTGGTTAAACTTGCATTATATTAATTAAAGAGTATTTATAATTAAAAAAAAAAATTAAATAATAAGAAGTGTATTATTACATTTATCTTCTATTTAAATTTTTAAACATGAATTTAACTATATTAAATATTAAAGTATGAAATTATTAATATATAAATAATTTAAAAAATATAAAATAAATAGATTAAAGATATCCATAGTTGAATTGAGATAAAATTTTAATACCATTGTTAATAAAATGATAGATTTAATTTGCTTGTAAAGATTATATGGCAAGGAACAACTTGTATAGATAATATCATGTATGTTTCTTTGGATATTATTAATAGTAGAATATATATATATATATATATATATATATATATATTATAATACTTAAGTAAAAAATAAGTAGAAATAGATTGAAATAAATTAGATAAATAATTTATTTATTATAAAGTATTGAATGATATGTCTTGAATGTAAATTTAATCTTTAGATGTACTTAAAGGTATTACATGACTATAAAACATTCTTCCACAAATTTCTTATATCTATGAAGCTATTGAAGATGTATTCTATTGCTCAAAGCTTTGGCTTGTAAGCCTTGTATTTCTTGTAAGAATCCTACATAGTTTTTTTGTTATTTAGTATATCTGGAGAAAAGATTGATACTATCCTTAGTTTCATTAATAATTTTCTTTTACTTTAGTCTTTTTTTAAATATCTTTTGTCTTTTTATATTTGGAAATAATCATTCTTATATATTTTTATTCTAAAACTATATTTTATTTTAACTTCTTTTATCTTTTTTGATTTGAGTAAATATTTTCTTAGCAAGTATATCCAAGTTTATATTATTTATAGTAAAATAGTTTGATGTTCTAATTTATTAGAATATAGCATATACAAGACGAAATCGGTATTATGTAGCTTATACTTTTTAAAAACATTATAATTCTATTTTTAAAAAAACTAATTGTATTGATTTTTTTCTATGTTTTTATTTTGTCAATATATTTAATTTAAGTTATTATTATTTTTATTTCGTCTCTTTAATTAAATTTATTAAATATATATATTAAATAGATATTGACTAAAAAATAAAAAAAATAAAAAAAAATCTAAAAAAATAATAATTAAAATTCAAGAATTTATATAATGTATTAAAATAAGTTAAAACTTCTTTGTGGTTGCAATGTAAGAAAAAATCAGACCTATTTGGATAAGAAATATTTTGCATAAGAGAAGTTAAAACGATTTGAAAATTTTCAAAACTCTATTAATTTTATTGATACATTATTTTAACAAAAATATTTTTTAAATAAATATTTATGTTACAATCATATTATTAAGACATATTATAAATTAAAGAGAATGTTAAATCAGAAACAACTTTTACTAAATCAATCCACAATAAAAACCATTATTATGCCTACCTCATTTTCTGTCTCTATTTTCTCTATTCCTAATCTTTGTGCCTATTCTTGGTACTTGTCCTTCCTCTCCTCTCTCCCTTTAGAACTCTACTTCTTCAATCAATATACCTTGCAATAGATATAAGTTTAGACATATACTCTATATGAAGAGTTACTAATACTACTGGTTCAACAACACAATATGGATGGAATTCAATGCCATGGCAAAGTTTTTCAATCAACACAAGCAAGTAGTAAGCGTCCACTACTTTTTTTAATAAGCTGATACTAAAGACAGACAATACATTTAGAAATCTCTATCCAATAAGATGCACAATGTACCCAGTAGCGGCATGATGTGCAAGAGTATGGTTCAAGTGGCAATGAAGTAGGTAAGTATCCCATGAGCTTTGTTGAAGTCAACTTGATATGCGAATGACAAAAATTATGTTGGTAAAATAGCATTTGTTTGATGGATCAATACCAAGCTTAACCTTGTACTAAGAAGCAAAAAGAAAGTTCACAAAAGAGACAGGGGATATAGAAAGGGAAGCATAATAATGGTTTTGATAGGTAGATCAATTTAATAAAAGTCAAGGTCAATTTAACATTCTTATAAATTAATTTTAATTTACATATAGCTAAAGATGTTATCTTAAATATAATCTTTAATAATAATATATTTTATAATATCTACCTTTAGTTTTAATTTTATAATTTAAATATATTAAAATCTCATAATTAGTTCAAATTATTTTCAATAAAATATCTAATAATTTATTTTTTAAAATTATTTATTATATATACATAGTAAATCCTAACATTTTGTAAATAATATGTTATATCATTTTATTTTGTAAATAATATTTTATATCATATATAATTTAAAAAACTAGAGACTTATTAGTCAATTTAGCACTAATACTTTCTAATAAAATTTAAACTCTAAAATCTAATAATTATGCATATTTTTGTAGAATAAATTATTTGAAGATTCAATCAATTTGATGAAACCTACAAAATCATTTATTTCTTGAAAGAAAAAAAAAACTTCAAATTGTATACTGTTATATATAATTACTTATAATTATTAAAACATACATACTAATAAAAATTAAAAACTAAACAGCACAATATTTTGTTTGAAACCATCATATGTTTAAATTTTAAAAAAATTATACATGTTTCAATATTCCATACAAACATAGTACTATAGTAACAAATGTATAAGCAAAATTAATATTAATGAATAAATAAATAAAATAAAAACCACATCAAATTAACAAAAAAGATACCATTTTTATTTTTATTAATTTTTTTCAGAATGCATACTACATGTGTGCATGTTGGAGACTTTTTCAATTGTATCAATATAATAAAGAATCTTAGTTTTAAGACAAAGAGATTAAAAAACCTTCTCATTAGCCAAGAATATATGTTATCCTTTTATAATGTAAAAATACATACTGCTATTTAACAATGAACCTCTCCATATTCAATCAAGATTCTTTATCTCAAAAATAGTAAAGCCAAAAATACTACAATAAATATAATTTATTCTAAAATTTGTTAAACCTGCCATTTTAGCAATTGAATTAGGTAATAATTATCTTTGCCAATAACATTGAAGAATTGTTATTAGTTTCATTATTATTTGATTTGGTTTGATGTTTTTTAGTTAACATTTTTGTAGAAGTTGTTGATTTTTTATTGGACAATCTTTTACTTGCGCAACAATATAGAATTCTACTAATTCTAAAAAAACAATCAAAGGAAGTTGCCCACAATCATGTCCAAATCTCATAGTGTATTCACACTATTACACTTACACACTACCCACATTGTGTCAAAAGCAACACAAACAGGTACTAGAAACTGTTGAGAGCATTAAATGTAGCCAACGCTCTCCATGATATTTACTATAGTCTACAATAAATACTATAGCTATAGTATTTGGAATGTAGTAGAGAGAAACTATTTATCCTTTTTCCTTCTCTTCTTGTATATGAGACACAACCAGATCAATAGATTTTTATGTGTGAAGCTCGCTCTCTCTCCTTAAAAACCTTCTTGTGTGTATTATTTACTATTATTCTTGTGTGTGTATATGTTACTTACTACTACTCTTGTATCTTTCTAAATATTCTCAATACATTATCAACATGACTCTCTTCTATACACTATCTTAATTTTTTTTGCTCTAGACTTGACTTGTCAAACCTATTATTACTCTTGCTTCCTGTTTGACTCATGATCTTACTGCACTTCTTGCTAGTCCCTTACACATTAGCTGCTTGCTTAGAGCACTTGCTCCACTCTATGCCTTGCTTGCTTAGAATACTTGCTTCATCCTAGCTTCTTTGTTGCGCCCCACTTATGGTATCAAATAACTACCAAACTACCGCCAAACTGCCACTGTTATTGACCATCAACTACCTTCGAATAACTGTCAACTCTGCTATAGCCGCTGATTGCAAATTATCGTGGACCTTGCCACTATTGCCACCCTACCACCCTACCGCTATCGCCTTGTTGCTGTCGCTACCTGTTGCCGCCATCCTACTGCTACTCTGCTGCCATAATCCACAACCTTGTTTAAAAAAAAATAAAAAAAATAAAAAAAATAAAAAATTTTGATTTTTAAGTTCAAATTTATCATTTTATTTGACTTTATATTTTAAGGTATATTTTATTCAATTTTTTTATTTGATCTTATATTTTCTTTTCAAATTTATAATAAGTGCTTCAATATCTTCAACTACTTCTATTATAGTTATAACTATTACCATTGCATCCCAATATTTTCAAGCTTTTTTATTTCTACCATTGATTGTTGATGGAAACAATTATCTATTATGGACAAAAATAAAAAAAAGTAAATTTATTTACAAAACAACTGTTAGATGTTATTATATTTGAAAAATATCCTATAATAAGTATTTTTATTCTTCCTGCTATCCGTTGGAAAGCATTTCTTCTCCTTCGTTGTCATCTTGTACTTGCATTACAACATCAATATTTAAAAATGGAAGATCATGCAGAACTTTGGAAGAATCTTAAATCCAGGTTTGATCATCAAAAGTCCATTTTTCTTCCATATGCAGGTCATAATTGGACACATTTATGTATCTTGGATTTTCCAAATTTAAATGCTTTCAATAGTGAAATGTATAATATTTTCTTACAATTACGATTATGTAGACAAAGCATCTCTAAAGAAGAAATGATTGAAAAAACTCTCTCTACATGTCCTCCTGCATCTGATGTGCTTGCACAACAATACATGAATATAAAATTTTAGAGTCATTCCAATCTCATGTCTTATCTACTTTTTGCAAAGAAGCAAAACGAGCTACTCTTCCGCAATGTAGAAGCTCGTCCTATTGGAACCACAGTTCCAGAATCTCATGCACTTAATATTTTAAAGTCTAAAAAAAATTATATAAACATAGAAAACATACTCATAAGTATCAAGGTAGTCATAATCATGACCATTTCTATCCATATGGAAAGAATAAACATTCTACTATTAATTATAGTAGAAAAAAAAATTAGAGATGTATTCTTGCCATAAATGTGGATTGATTGGACATTTAGTACATGCGTGCTGTATTTCAAAATATTTTATTAAAATATTCCAAAAAAATAAGAAATTACAAGCTGAGGCTTGTGAAGTTCATATCATGGATGCATCCATGGATTCAATTGGTGCTGATGATTTAGAAGCTTATATGAATGACAAAACTCCTAATGATGAATCAAATGATACTTTCATTGATTCTACAACAATACATACTATCCTGCGGGATAGATAATTTTTTATTAAAAAATCTTTAACTTGGCAAACTAAAAATATAATGACCATGGTTGGAGTAAATGCGTTTTGTTTCGAAAAAGGCATAGCGATGGTAAAATGACCTAGGGATTCCATCATAAAATATAAACATGCGATGTTTACATCTTTAGAACTTTGGAGTCTGATCAGCTACTGAGATATGTGTATCAATAGTTATCACCTCTCGAATGCCATTTTAAATAGAAAAGAGGTTTTGGTTCTTACGAAGAACCATAAAGTTATTGAAAAAGCTTTTGCTACAAAAAATGGTTTATACTGAATTGCGATTAGGCCTCCCATTATATTTAATTTTTCATCATCTATCATAGAGAGTCGTGCTTCTCTCTGGCATGGACGATTGACACATCCAAGATCTACATTATTTAGAAAGATCATTCTATGTATAACTGGGCACAATTTAAAGCCTAAAGATATAGACTCTATGAAATTATGTTGTGCATGCATGCAAGGTAAGTTAATAACTCGGCCTTCAATTTAAAAACTTCCACAAGAATTACCACCAATGCTTAAAAGATTGCATGGTAATATTTGTGGTCCTATTAATCTAATATCTAGACTATTTCATTATTTTTTAGTCCTTATTGATGCATCAGATAAACAATCACATATTTCATTATTATCAATTCAAAACATGGTGTTTGCCAATCTTATATCTATTATTATTTATTTTTGGGCATATTTTCTTGATTATCCTATAAAAATATTGCATATAGATAATGCAAAAGAATTTGCATCAAAGTCTTTTGAAGACTATTGTATTGCAACACGAATTAAGTTGACATATTGTGTTCCATATGAACATGCTCAAAATATACTTGCAGAGTCATTTATAAAGCGTATACAATTCATTATCTGACCACTCTTCCTTCACGTAAATTTACCTGTATCTATGTAGGATCATACAGTCTTACATGCTGCAGCATTAATATGCCTCTGTCCTTCTTCTCTTGAAATTGTTTCACCACATGAGCTTATTTTCGGCCGTGTTTCAAATGTATCTCATTTACAAGTATTTGGTTGCCGTGCTTGGATTCCAGTACCAGAATCTCAATGCCATACCATTGGAGCTCATTGATAAGAAAGTATATATGTTGGTTTTGATTCAAGAAGCATTATTTGTATTGTTGATCCATCAACTGACACATTATTATGTGCACATTTGCAAAATTGTAATTTTGAAGAAAATATATTTCCATCTCTTCAAAGAGAAGTATCTAATCAACAAAGAAATAAAGTACTTGTATTTGAAGCACTGAAAATGTATACCTTGAATCTCGATCCTAAGACATCTTTGGTAGAAACTGAAGTTGCTAAGATTTTGCATCTTAAACGGATTGCAGATGAAACACCTAATGGCTTCAATGATGCATCTAGAATTACAAGAGTTCTTATCAATGAGGCTCAAAATGCACCTACTTGGATTGCATTGCCATTAATTACAATACCTCAAGTTATAACAACAACAACTAAAAGAACTCATGGACCACATAAGCAACCACATAAGAAGAAAACTATAATATTGATTAATCTTGGTATTATTGAGGAGGTGATGCGTCGCTCTCATTGGGCAAAATAAAAAACTGCTATTGAGGAGGAATATGCCTCTTTGTATAAGAAGAAAGTCTTTGGTCCAATTATAGATACTCTTACATCTCGCCCTATGGGATATAAGATGGTATTAATATGCAAGCGAGATGCTCAAGGTCAAATAATCCCCTATAAAGCTCGTCTTATTACTTAAGGATTTACTCAACGATTTAGCATTGATTATGAATCCACATATTTTCCAATCATGGATTCAATCATATTTTGATATATTATTCAAATGGCAGTTCATGCCACCTTTGAGATGCATTTGATGGATGTGGTAACTACATATCTATATGGTTCTCTTGATGCAAATATTTGTATGAAAGTTCCACCTCGCTTAGAAATAAAAACTCCAAATAGACCTACTCGAGGACAATATTGTGGTATTAAATTATATAAGGCCTTGTATGGTTTAAAAAAATCCGAACGTATGTGGTATCAACATCTTTGAGATTATTTAATTACAAATAAGTTTGTAAGTAATCCATTAATCCCTTATTTGTTTATCAAATGAGATAAAACTGGTTTTGTGATCATCGCTCTATATGTTGATGATCTTAACCAAGTAGGCACTATATTTGCATGTATTGTAGCTACTAACCTACTTATACATGAATTTTAGATGAAAATGCTAGGAAAAACAACTTTCTGTATTGGTCTTCAGATTATGCATCTCACAGATGATAGTATTTTTTTTTACCAACTAACGAATATTAGATAAAACTTGCAAAGATTCAATATGATTGATGCTTATCTATTGTCCATACCAATGATGGTCATGATCCATACCATCCATGCGAGGAGGAGGAGGAAATATTGGGAGATCAATATCCATACCTTGCAGCAGTTGGAGTACTTTTATATTTGGCTACATCTACAAGATCAAATATTGCATTTGTAGTTAGTGTTCTTGCAAGACATAGTGCATGTACAATACTATGACATTGAAATGACATCAAACATTTATTACGTTATTTAAAAGGTATTAAAGACTTGGCATTATACTACACACAATTTGTAGATCCAAAATTGGTTGGATATTGTGATGCAGAATATAAATCTGATACTACAACAATTAAATCTAAAACATGATATGTATTTTTAAGACATAGAGCTAGAATATCATGGAAATCAGTGAAACAAATAATAACTGCAATTTCATCCAATCATACTGAAATTATTGCTTTATATGAAGCATTTGAAGAATGTATTTGGTTATGATTAATTGATAAATTCATTCAAACAACATGTAGATTTTCATATGATGATTCTCCAACTATCTTGCATGAAGACAATAGTGCTTGTATTACATAGATGCAAGTTGGTTTCATTAAAGGCGACAAAACAAAGCATATTGATCGAAAGTATTTTAGTTATATCCATGACTTTATTACTGCTCAAGCACTTATAATTAAGAAAATTGAATTTGCAAATAATCTTGCTGATCTCTTTTCTAAAGCTCTCCCATTGTACAACCATCGTTGACTTACTTATAACATTAATATGCTACGACTTGCTTTTCTTGAATAAAAAAGTTAATGAACTCTTTAAATAATTAAAGAAAATGATGTTGTACTCTTTTTCTTTCATCTATGGTTTTGCCCTTAAATATAATAAGGTTTTCTTAGATAAGGTTTTAATGAGGCAACAATTATTGATCTTGTGAGATTACATAAAAGTATACATCATAATTCTATAAAAATTTTATATTATATAAATATTATGATGAACGAAGAGGAGTGTTGAGAGCATTAAATGTAGCTGACGCTCTCCATAATATTTACTATAGTCTACAGAAAATACTATAGCAACAATATTTGGAATGTAGTGGAGAGGAACTATTTATCCTCTCCCCTTCTCTTCTTGTATACGAGACACAACCAGATCAGTAGATTTTTATGTGTGAAGCTCTCTCTCCTTAGAAACCCTCTTGTGTGTATTACTTACTATTACTCTTATGTGTGTGTGTGTATTACTTACTACTACTCTTGTGTCTTTCTAAACATTCTCAACAGAAACAAATACATAGTGACCCCTCCATCCACTATATACCGTATTCGCTGGCGCATACATATGTACACGTGGCACTAGAACCTCGTAACCGTAAACATACGATTTACGTACAATACAGAATATACATACGTAATAACCGTATGGAATCGGGTGGAGGGAGCATTTTCCGAGGTGGGCGAGTCCGCCAACCTCGTCACCTCCGCGCCCCCCGTCCCTTTCACAAGACAGAAGAAGACTTGAACAAACTATCTCCAAACGCTGAGGTTGCGTCGATTCCTCGTTGTTTTTTCTCGTTTCATTGTCTCGGATTTGGGTTGCGCTCGGCTTGGTTTCCTCCGCTCCGCTTGTCCTCGCAGGATGGCAATGGCTGCAGCAGCTCCCACTGTGCCCATCTGCCATGGCCGCCGTGCCTCGCCTTGCTCCTCCAAACAGGTTTCCGTGAGCGTGAGCGTTGCGATGCGCGCTTGGGCGTCGAAGTCGTCGTCATTGTCGTCTTCCTCGAGCAAGTCGCCTCGTCTGGTGGCTGCGCACGCCACTGCCGTCGCGGTGAGTGTCTTACCCTGTTGGCTTTGTTCTTCAATGTGTTCGCATTGGATTCGGTGGTCGTAATGCCAATGACTTGAATGCCCCTCCCATACCATGATTTGCCCTGTCTGTGCACTTAGCGGAATGTGATGCGTACTCTAGTGTAGGTTTGCTGCACCTAATAGCTGAGTAGAGCCAGGGAGGGAGGGGGTGTTGCTGTGGGGAGGGTGCAGACCAAGGAGGCTGCGTCGACTACTTCGTCGAGCCAGGGAGGGTGAGTGGTCTCGCCATTTCTCGGGACTATTTTCGTGGATTGGGATTGGCTTTGATTGTATTCGGTAGCTTTCCTTGTTGGATGCACACTTGGTGCCAGAATGGATCAGACGAGAGATTTTGCAATATCTAGTTTGGAGGAGAGATAGAGAAGTGGATATTTTTGTCTATTTGTATGGTTGTCTATTGTGCTGAATGGAGAATTTGATCGAGTATGGATTGGGTGGGTGGCAGACACGAACTTTTGATGTTCGAGGCCTTACGCGAGGGGCTGAGCGAGGAGATGGAGCGAGACCCGAAGGTGTGTGTGATTGGAGAGGACGTCGGGGACTACGGGGGCTCATACAAGGTGACAAAAGGGTTCAGTGAGAAGTTTGGTTCTTGGCGGGTCCTGGACACGCCCATCGCGGAGAATTCTTTCACCGGAATGGCTATTGGGTCAGCCATGACGGGCCTGAGGCCCGTGGTTGAGGGGATGAACATGGGTTTTCTGCTGCTGGCGTATAACCAAATCGCTAACAATTGTGGGATGCTGCACTACACGTCGGGTGGGCAATTCACCATTCCCATCGTGATCCGCGGGCCTGGAGGTGTGGGCAGGCAGCTGGGTGCGGAGCACTCGCAGCGGCTGGAGTCATACTTCCAGTCGGTGCCGGGGCTGCAGATGGTAGCATGCTCTACGCCTTATAACGCCAAGGGGTTGATGAAGGCTGCCATCCGGTGCGAGAACCCAGTGATATTATACGAGCACGTGCTGCTGTACAACCTGAAAGAGAAGATTCCCGACGAGGAGTACGTGTGCTGCCTGGAGGAGGCCGAGATGGTGCGCCCGGGCACTGAAATCACCATCTTGACATACTCTAGGATGAGATATCACGTGACACAGGTGTGACTGGGAGCTTAAACCATCGGTGGAACCTTAGCAGAAGATGGGAGTGGAATCCTGCATTTACTTCTTAGTTTTTGGATTGGAATACTGTGTGAAAGTGCTAATGGTAAACTCTGGAGCTGAATGTGGGACTGTGTGTTTGTGGATTGGTTTGGTGCAGGCTGCGAAGACCCTGGTGGACAGGGGATACGACCCAGAGATCATCGACATCCGGTCGCTGAAGCCATTTGACATGTACACAATCGGAGAGTCGGTGAGGAAGACGCACCGGGTGCTGATTGTAGAGGAGTGTATGCGGACGGGAGGCATCGGTGCGAGTTTGAGGTCAGCGATCATGGAGAGCTTTTGGGATGAGCTGGACGGGCCGATTGGGTGTCTGTCGTCGCAGGACGTTCCAACGCCGTACTCGGGTCCTCTGGAAGAGCTCACGGTGGTACAGCCTCACCAGATAGTGACGGCTGTGGAGAACTTGTGTGGGAAGAAGTGAATCTGAGCGCGGCATCCAACGTACTTCGGTAGATTCAGGCCGAGGGGTGTTTTAGAGTGTATTTGATTCACAGATGGCAGGTTGGTGCAGCTAGTGGCAGGTTGATTTAACTCTTTGTTCGTCAAAAAAAAACAAGATTTTTACGGAGAAGTCTCAGTAGACCTGTGCTGGACATCTTCCTGATAGCGGAAATTGCATAGGTAGAAGTTTCTCCACTGATAGTTACCCGAAGTAAATAGCGCTTATGGTTAGAAGCCCCTACCTTTCACTTATAACATAGAAGTTAAGATTATTGTAGTGGATTCATTTTAGGCCGTAAGGTTATAGGAGATGAGTAGAATCAGTCTTATGTGAGCACTTATGGTTGCCACTTGTGTTGGTATTACTTCTTTGATATACATGTTTAGATAAATTTATGCTGCTGCCTTTATGGGGTTGTTTTGTGAATTTGAGCTCGTTCTCTACATTTAAAGCTTCGATACCGTGTCTGCAATATGTTTCTGGTAATCGGTGTGAAGTCCTCACTTTTGAAGTATAATGGTTAAGTGTAATTTTGGTTTTTTCTATCGCTTGAGCAGGAACTGATTTGTTTTGATTTGCCCCGCACATTGAGCACTTCTGTTTTTCGAAGGTTGTTGAGTGTAGAGCAAGGTTGTTGGATTGTGCATGCGTTTGATGAAGCTGATGCATCGGATGTTGTTTGGAGTGATTGAAGCAGTCTCATTTTTAGAATGAATTATGAGCCTCAGCTTCGATACACAGAGCTCGTTGGCATGGAAATTGATACATTATGCGAGTCCATGACGATTATACTCAATCATTGCCCCGAAGGATAGTTCTGGGAGTCGAGTTAGGAACAGCAGCATTCCCAGCTCTGGGGTTTGAATTTAGGGTCAATGTGCAAACGAAGTGGCTGCTTGGCGAAGATTTGCGTTGTGGGCGTAGCCAGTCAACAAACTCAACGTACCTAAGATTTATTTATTTACTTTATCCTTGGCTTTTTGATAACTGTAGACGAAGCGGTTCATGTTCAATCATTGTTGCAAAGTAAGAATCTTATTATTAGCTGCTGTGAAACGAATCCTGTAAAACCTGTGAGAGGAGTCTCAGAATGCTTAGCTGAAGCCACTCCAAAGCAGTGATGGTCTTCATTTCGATTTGCAAATCTAAGAAGTGTGTTCTCAAGCCACCTTGTGTTGTACACAACATGCTGCACTTTGTTCTTCAAGTCTCGAGATATCCAGACCGTACTTGTACACGAATCTGGCTCGCTCTTGTAGTTGTGTGAACACAACTCATAATCGCCTGGATCACCAACCCATGCTTGGAAAATCACACTGAAGAGAAATCCCCGTGTCAAAAGAGCCCTAAAAAATTTCGAATTTTGAAAGTAGCTAGTCTAACTTCATTCCGGGTTTGTACGAGAGGAAAGCCCTTCACCTCTTCTTCTAGCTTTGGGCTGAAGTATACTGTCTTATTGAATCATCGGAATGTCGGGATGGGTGCCACATCAATGCCAGGTCAATATACTTTGTGGTAAGATCTTCAAGCTGAAAACAAGGGCCTCTGTGTATCTTTATACATTGCCACACCATTCCCAATTTCCCACCACTCATGGGCTTTTCCAAATAAAACCACTAGCCCATATTTCTAGGGCTCGCAACTCACCACATGGTGGTTCTCGACCGTAAATCTTTGAGTCGCCTCTTCAGAATTGACGTTGTAATAAGCACAAAATTGTCAGTCTTTCTTATGTTCTTTACTTGTTACCCAGAGACATAAATTTTCAATGACAAAAGAACGCTCTTAAACCTAGACTTTTGACTTTTCAGAATCAGTAGATTACAGTGCTCATGCTCACTTTGTAACTGAATGGAATGTACCGCCGGCAGCAGCGAGCCTTCAAGAGTCTGACCCCGCGGTAAGCTAGCATCAAAACTCTTCTACGAAATACCTGCACTATGGTTGTACATGACATATCGAATTGACAATACGGTAACAACAGTATTGTTCCATCCAAACCGCTTTCTATTGTTCGATGCACAAAATCAAGTGCTCGCTGGAGAATATATTTCCCGGCCCCTCCCCTCCCCTGGTGTTCATGCACCATTTAGATTGCTAATTACGTCCTCCAGGGGCTACATGGCTGTCCTCGTCGTGTTGTACTGACAGTAGCGTAGCCAGAAGTTTGCGTGACTACGTTCGTATTGACGAAGACCCTGGTGCCCTGTCTTCGAGAAACTTTCTGCACTTGATGGGGAATTTATGAACGAGGCTGAATTGTCAGGGCGCTTGGTATAGCTTTTGCGGAGACGTTTCTGACAGGAGTGGCCAATTCATGCGAGGTTTAATTCGTTAACGCGGATTATTAGAGCTGATCAACCGTCACTCTGGTTCTTGTTTTCATTAATTGCTGTTTTGGTGTTTTTATTGCTGTCTCTCCTGCAGGAAAAACAGCGAAACTCTTTTGGATTTGAACTTTAAGGTGTTCCGGAACCAGACTGCAACCGTTGTGGCATTCATGGTGGATCACTAGAACTTTCAAGTGCAGAAGCTTGTTCACCTCGTATGTTTTGGGTGCGCATCGCTGCATCGCTCTTGCAGGTTCCTAACCTTATTTTTTTTATCCTCGGAAGAGTGACAACGGAATGGATTGGAGTAGTGTCGTAGAAAGTCTGGAAGAGTTGTAGAAAATAAGCGCAGAAAGAGGTGCATGAGTCTCTCAGAAGCTGTAGCAATAACTGGAAGAGGTGGTCCGAAAGGAAGGGGAGAGGACAGTGTAGAGGGCGTGAAGCACTCGACCAGTTCGTTAATTAGCACTATTGACCCAAGCTGTTGATGGTCATCAGATTCAGCATTATTTAGGAACGTCAAGCAAGAGCAGATGTGCGCTTCATGATTAGTGCTAGGGATGTGTAGTGTGCGAATGATTGTGCAGCAAGGAGTTTTTGAAATTCTCTTTGTATTTGCAGCAAACCCCAGGAATCAATGGTCATTGTGGGGAAGCACTATCACCAAAGGTAGCCTAGATCGATTTTAAATGGGAAACTAGGAACATCATGCTGCGGATGTCTACGAAATCATGTCTACAGATGATGATTGTCGAATGTAGAAGCTTCTGGAGGTATAAATGGCGAAGAGGGAAGGTGGATTCAGCTCGTGGCTTCAGCGGGTCAGGCAAACGGGAGAGTACAGTGATGTCACTGTTCAAGTGGAAGGAGAGGAGTTCCGCCTCCACCTGCTTCCGCTTCTGAACGCAAGCACTTACTTTCGCAACCTCATTAGCAGCCCAAACTGGTCTTCTAATGCAAGTGACCAGAGATCATCCAGGATCATCTCCCTCTCTGGTTTACCAGGTAAACGCATTATCCCGCAATCTTCGAGAAGTGGAGGAACAACCACTTTAATTATGCATTAGTTTCTAACACTTAGATTTCTGGTTTTTGATTTTTCTTTTTGTCAGGTGGAGCGGAAGGATTTAGAGTTGCTGTCGATTATTGCTACCTCATCAAACCGAACTACACTGTGCAAAATGTAGCGCAGATCCGAGCTGCAGCGGAGTATCTCGGCATGTCTCCTGTTCTGGAAAGCACTAAGAAATTTCTCTACACAAACATCTTTGCACATTGGCGAGCAAGCGTCGGATATCTTCACCAGTATCAGCCCTTAGGTTCCCCTGTGGATGAGTACATTGAAACGCGGTGTTTAAAGGTTTTAGTTGCAGCGCTAGCTAGAGCATTTGGTGAAACAAAGCATCTGTCTGCACCATCGCCGCTTACAACGGGGAATTTGCAAAGCTCCACATGCGTCGCGCTTGCGGAGATTCTGGTTAGGGTTGCCTCGTTGCCTGACACTTACGCTAGCGAGGCTTTGGATGCATTGGTGGAAGCGGATGTGAATTTGAATGTAAAGTGCCGGCAAGGGAGAAATGTACGTGGGTGGTTGGGGAGCGTTGTGGATGATGAGTGTACAACAGTAAGGGCAAGGTGTTGGATCGTGCTCTGCTTGTCGCGGATGCTTGAAAGAGGTGCCCCGGATACTCGCCCATGGCTGGAACTTTCGTCGCAGTACTGGTGCAGTCTTTTGGAGCACGTAGACCATCTCGTTTCCGCGGTTGCCGACAACGAAGTCATGCAGGTACTATCAACACTGAAACCTCTTCAATGGATTTATTGAATTGTTTCCTCACCTGTACTTATATCTTGAATTCTTGAGATGGTTGCAGGTGAGGCTCATTGACATGAAAATGATACTAGAACGACGGATCGGAGCGAGCCTGGACGAGCTAGACGAGTATTTGCACGTGTACAAGTTCGGACCTGATACATTGATGGCAATGGTGAAGCATTACCTGAACGAAGGTCACCACGACCCCGACTCCGACTCCATTGAAGAGATCGCTGGTGAAGTTGACAAGTTTCTGTGGATGTATGCGGAGGCAGGTTCTATCAATGTGGAGACATTTGTGTCTCTGTTCAAGGTACTACCATAATTCTGTGCGACTTCATGTGATCCTGTCATTTTAGATTGTAGAATCTCTCACTACAGCTATTGATTGCGTATTTCGAAAGTCTTCCAGCACAGAGGGCTGAGGTTGGAATGACGAAGTAGGTCCTCTAACTGGCCAAGTTGCCGTCGTTGGTGTAATTCAGGCATTTCCAAGTTCGACACGCCTATCGCACGACACTATATTCGGCGCAATAGAAAAGCTTTTGACGACGATGACGGATGCGACACCCGAGGAAAAGCAGATTCTTTGGCGGCTCGTCGATCCCGCCAAGCTTAGTCCCGCTGTTAATGAAAAAGCTTTAAACAATCCAGGATTCTTAAGCCAACCTCACGTCCTAGAGATGGTGTTGCAAAAGCATAGTGAAGACTTGGCCAAAGTGCCGGACACAGATGCTCAGAATATGAGACACATCATGCAGAAGGTGATCAACGCTAGCCTTAAGCTACTGGAAGAGAATTCACGCCGGTCTCAAGAGATTGTAGAGCTCCAACAACAATATTCTGCGCTGCTGGGAGGGAAGATATGTCATTTGCAAGATAGCTGCGAGAGCAGTCCCAGCACATGTTGGAGACCGAGTCTGACAATTACTCACAAGTCCATGGTGCACGAAACTGAGACCGAAGGCTCGGAATTCTCGGAAACGCCATCGGTGGCTACTTTGAGCTCCATAGGTGCGCATTTTTAGTCACCATGCCTTGAGCTTGCTTCTTTAAGATTCAAGATGTGGAATTTAGGGTGGCTATAATTTTCTGGAGGTCGATGCTGCCGAACATTTAATACATGTGTCTGGATCATTGCTTCCCACTCACTTTGATTTGGGATGTGCACTCTGTATGTAAACAAATTGGTGGCACACACTCACGTGGAGACATGATGAAATTTTGGTAGATGGATAGTTAATTTTAGTCATAATGTATTATGCGGCAGGTTGTGGCCTAAAATTATAGCGGCAATAGCCTTGCCACGTCTAATTTTGTCAATGTAGGGTTTCAGTAGAGTCGATCAGTTACTTCCAAATGAATCGAAGGTTTGGAAATTTTATGATCTTCGAAATAGAACTTTGTTCTTTGTATCATATACTATGATATTACAATTGTTCATTAATTCTCGCATCTTATGGTTGCTTCTGCTCACATTGAGCTTCTCTGGTGTTGTTTTGATGGAAGATAACGCATCGATGATCATAGCCGATCTCTCTTGAAAACGTGTCGTTGCGCAAGTTGGGTGTGTCTGAATGTCTTTTAAAACTTCGCATATTCCTTTCTAACTGCAAATCTGCTGTGCAGAACCCAGACTGCATTTGCGAGAAATTGACTAAGGTATGAATCGAGCAACCTGGAAGCTGACTGTGCACGCCGTATGCCCGAACAACCAGTCTCTGTGCCTAATCTGTTTGTTTGTCCATCTAGGCGAGTGCAACTCCAACCTTTTCTGCCAGATCTAACTTCTGGGTCCTTCAGACTCGATCGAGTACCAAGCCTGTAGAGGTCAGACCCAACAGGGAGCTATTCGCTGATTCACACGTTCAAACCACATTGGAATTGCCATAAATTCTGCAACGCCTAGTGCTACCTCGAGGCAGTTGGCAGTATTTCCAAGAAGCCTGCCACTGCCTTCCATGTTTTTCTCCGCTCAACCCATGAGTTGTGTTAGTTGTGTTCTTAGGATAGCATCAAAAAACTAATTCCTGTCTATTCATCATAGATGCCTCATAAAGATCAGTGTGCTAGAAGTAAGCACTAAAGTGCTGAAAAAATGTAGTTGATACACGTACATTTTCTTGAACAGGCAAAACTTTCAGATTGGCTTTCCCTGCTGGCAATCGTTTATTTATTGGGGCGTTAGCTGAAGAGAAACGTAGCGAAAATTACTTCTAAATACGTTCCAACGAAGCCAGCAATTCTAAGTAGGCTCTGGATACAGCTGGGTCAACCCGTGGCGTTCACGGTATTAAATTTCTTCAGTGAGCTTTTTCTGTGCTGAAGTTTCTACTCTGGCTGATTTCTTTTGTACTACTGAGGATATGGTCTACAATTGTATTGCGTTCAATAGAAAATAAATTCATGCGATAATTAACAGAACCTCACGTAGGGTATCGCAGCTGGAGGTCCCTGTAATTATTCCCTCTATTGAAATGGTTACGTGTGAAGCATGTAAACCCCAAACAACACACAACAGTTATTCCTACATCACCAACTGTATCAATCTTTGAGGCATTAGATGTGAAGATGCAAAGAATAATCATAAGATGGATGTCTAAACAGCCCTGTGCAATAAGCAGTGGTAAGGTCAAGAAACACTTGAGTGATGCTAACAGACATCAGAAACTTGAAAGCACAGGATTAAAGACCAAACGTTGGTCACAGAAGTGAAGGCTTAATCCCCAAGCACGAGCTCAATTCAGTACTTCACCAGCAACCCAGGCAACAGCACCACTAGCATAGCCTTCACATCCAAGTTATGTACACGCAAGGTTCCTCAGTAGTTCGTTGTCACCCTGTAAGGTTGAACTGCCGCTCTTAAAGAAGCAGTTCGAAACCAGGAGGGCAGAAAGCATTCTCTAATAATATCCTGTAGCAGAAGTGCAGTTCTTCCTGCAAGCACCAAACAAACAAAAAACAATGCAGACACCTGTAACTAAAATAATCACAACTGCAAAGATAAGAAAACAACTTTTTGCCAGACACTAAATACGGCTCACATGACGACTTCAGAAAAGAACTCAATACATTTTCCTGTCTACCCATATTGTGTACACACAATAACAATCACCCATGATGGAATCCAGGGGTCCACCACTAAACTCCACGCCCCATTCCTACGTGCTGTAAATTTCGTCCATAAAAACCACCATTAAGAAGGTGCAACAGAGATGATTAGAACTCGAGGCGGCAGTAGAAGAAGAGATATCTGCGCTCTGTGAGCCCATGTACCACATGAACAAGCAACTCCTGCCTTGTCAAGTTCCGTGAAGGAATCGTAACTTGTTGCACTTGTCATGTTCGATTTGCTTATTCAACACAGCTAATTCTCTGCACCAGTTTTGACCCCGGATTACCCACAATAATGAACCAAGGTAAATAGAAGTGCCACCAATGGGACACCGTAGTACTCATGCGGAGTAGGCCCAGTTGCAAGGAAGGCGGTTCTCATTAACCAATTAATGCTGTGTGTAGAGTAAACCTGAACAAACTTCAGATTCAACGCCTGCTTAGGAGTTGAATCTGCTAATCCTGCACCCACAACGAAGCTGGGGAGCAAGCGCTACACAGTGAATATGCATTGTTTCATTTATTCATTCCTGACATGATGTTCGTCCATCCTTCCTCCCTCCCACATCCTTCTTCACTTGGTACGGCGTTCATTCTTTTGTATCTAGTATGAGTTATTTCAGGCATTTTTGTTCGAATCAGAACAATCCAGAACTTGTCGAAATAGTTCAAAAGCATGTACAGTGCCTCAAAAGGGGAAAAAAGAAACCCTTGTCCTTGGTGTGGGCCAAACTCACGTCCTTTTACGTTCGGTGGTAGCTAGTCAGTTCGATGGTTGATGATCTTGCTTGCTGAAGCAGTGTGAGTCTGCGTTGTATTCAGTTCAGTGCGTCATCAAACAAAACTAGAAGTAGCAGGTGCATACCAACTGGAACCACATTTGGAGATCTATGTGTGATGAAATTTGGTGTTTGAACTTGTGGGTCTATATTTTGAGTTCACAGGGTCACCTCCCATTTTCACCTTTCAGGATTGAGTTAAGAAAAGAAGAGACTTTGGGCCCATTATTGTTAGTTAGGGACCTTTGTGTATAGTGATGTGATTGAGTGCTTACGTGATCTTGAATGTATATGCATTTTAAGAAATTAGTTATGGATGTGTTATTCGTAAATGAAGAGGGGTTTGTCTTGTTTCTGAACAGTGACTCTGCTAACTATGTTTTTAAATATCACAATAATTAAAAGTTCAATCAATGGTAGGATTATGGTAGACTGTTCCACGTATTGAAAAAGGATGTGTTGCCAATATCATGTGCCACACATGTGCCACACATCATTCTTTGTTTGCATTATCGCCCTTATTTTTATGATTCTTTACAAATTGTTATGTACATGTGATGTTTTAGAAGTACTTGGTAAATTAGATGTGATGTTCAGATTTGGAAAACACTGAAATTCGTTTGTTACTGGGGCTATGCATCAGCAAGAATAAAAGCATTTAAATATTATTTTGTGTTTCACTGCGGCGTCCAAGCCTGAGCCTCCATGGCTTAGTGGTAGAGCGTTCCCTTCGTAAGGGAAAGGTCGTGAGTTCGATCCTCACTGGGGGCAAAATTTCAGCGTTGTCAGCTGATCGGAATCCTGAGGTTACGTATGGAAGTCTTCCGTACACTGACAGATCAAGCCTGGCTGTTTTAACTTGTTTTATTTAAGTTACAATTGCATAACAATTATCATGTTAAACTATGCTAGCGGTGCTTAGAATATTCTTTAAGTCCTTGATTGGATTGGTTATAGTGCCAAAAATGTCTAATTAGGTCTTACCTAAATAAGCAAGAATTCTTTCTTTAAAAATTAAAAAACAAATCATCTTTCTTAATATGTATTTGTTGGTTGTATTAAATTGATTTTATTCCAAGTCTCCCCAATTATCTTTTCTTCTTATTAAGTTGAACTTATGTTTAAAAATCTAGTATAATGTCAAAACTATTTTCATTGGCTCATTAGAATCCACTCCCACATTGTGATAGAAAACAAAATATACAATCATTTTTGTGCCTTTAATTAGTTTGCTGTAAACCTAATCTTAGGATCTAATCCAATTTGGGTATAGAAATGTGAACAACCCTTCATTTTTTTTTAATAGAGAGCTTGATTTGTTTTCTTCTTTTGAATTTGATGTAAAAAAAAAGAAATCCATTTATATTTATACAAATATTCTTAATTTAGAATTTGGTTTCTTCCTTACCAAAAATAAGGTGATAACATCAAAATCATCCTTTCTATTTGGATGTCATCAAATCATTGGTGCTAAAGCAAATTATACAAGAACAAAACAATAAATGCTTTTTATTCTCTTCAAATTTGTGATTCTTGTTGTCAACTAAGAGATTGAGAGGTGTGCAAACTTTGAATAAAGACCAATGGTTAAATTAATAGTTATTGAAGATTTGAATTTGGTATAAGATTTGATTAAAGTTTGGTTGGGATTACTTAAGATTTCATTATGGTTTGATTAGGAATACATAGAATTTGTTAAAAATTGTGAAAGTTTAATTAAGATTAGACTAGAATTTTATTAAAATTTGATTACGATTTGACTAAGGTTTTATTAGGAGTTAATATATGTTTCACTAGGATTTGGTTAAGATTTGGTTATTTAGGACCAAAAAATCACAAAGTGTTAGGGACATAGTCCTTAGAACCTTCTAGAGACAAGTTTCTAGAACCTTCTAGAAGCAAGTCTCTGGAACCTTCTAGAAGCTTCCTAGTTGGTAGAAGTTGCTTGAGAATCTTCCTAAATAGGACTATATATTGGAATCGAGGCTGAAGAGTTCTTCAGTCTCGACAACACATCTCTTAGAGCTCTAGCTCACATCTCTGGTGTTGTTCTTATATTCATCTCATTAATCTAGTTCTTGCCAGTTCTTCTTCAACTTCTTGTTAGATCTCGAGTCTATATTTCTACGTCCGTTGTCGTATTACGTGCTTTCCTGCTCGAGAATGCGCCGAGCGTCTGGCTGTAGAAGGTAGTATGGAGATTCGCCAATAGTCAAGCAGTCTATCTGTTTTTGACTTTTAGAATATAAACAACTGTAAGAATACACCGTAAATCTATACGGATGCCCCTTCGACTGCTCGCCGAAGTCCTTTTTGTCCCGGCCGGTAGGTCTTTAAACGTTACAGAGAACCCCAAACAACCCAAATTGTTAATCTTCGATACTGCTTTGTACTTATAATCTTGTATCCACTGACTGTCTTGTTAGATTAACCCAATAAATTTCATTCACTCCGCATACTCAATCCTATAGATACCCTTTTAATTCTTCAATCTTAGACATAACTCGATTTCACAAAATAGTCAAGAGTAATCAAACCCACTTCATTAAAAATCTCGATTCACCATTACAACACTGACTTCAGCAACGATTGCCTCAGTCTTCCCAAAACCCTATGAAGAAAAAAAACCCAATTCTCTGTCTTCTTTCCCCACCCGAAGCATGAAGCTCCTCTCCCCCAATCTTCAAAAAACCTCCCAAAAACTTATTCTCCCCCTAACCTTATCCTCTGAATTTCTTCAATCTTCCGTCTTGGATCCGGAATTGGCTCCCACCGTTAGAGCTTAGATCCGAAATTGGCTCCCGCCGTCAGAGCTTTCTCCTCCGTTTTTACCTTTAAGAGATCCATTTACCGAAAACAACGTTCCCTGAAACGACACAGAGAATAGGACAACCTGAAACAGAATCGAAACCCCGTACTTGGGTCCACATTGAGTCGCCCGACCAATTCAGGTCTCATATTGAGTAAGATGCCCATAGTAACCTGGATGTTTACGTAATTGGGTCAAATCGGTCCTCGCGTCAGATTAGCTAAGAGGCCCGTAGTAAGACCTAGATGTTCCCGTAATTGGATCAAATTGGTCCTTCGCGTCAGACTGGCTGAGGCCCGTAGTAAGACCTGGATTTTCTCGTAATTAGACTTTATTGGGTTGCCCGACCAATGCATGTCTCATATTAAGTAAGAGGACCCGGATTGGATTCTTGAAATTAGATCCAATTGGCTCTTCGAACCAGACTCACCCGTCGTGTGAATTGGTCCTTTCTCTTCCTGCTGACTCCCGTTATTGGAATCGAATGGAGCATTTCAGTATGCTCCAGCTGACTGTAACGGGGTGACTGAACCTGGCCACTCAGTATTTGCACTAGAGTTGGTTGTTGCTCCAAATATTCGAGGTAACTGAACATTAATAAAAGTCCCCTTTCTTTATATTTTCACGGTATACTCGTGTTACAACACGACATCCACCCCCTCTGAACCTATGCATCCTTCGGTATGCACCAATTTATCCAATTGCTGTTTGATTCAAAATAT